TTTTAGGCTACCAGCAAAGATCGCATTAGCCTACCTTAGTTAATGTTTTAATGAAGTGGAAGAAATTGTTTTATTGGCACATTATGATTCAAAGTCCAAACATTCTTCATAGGAATAATTCTCTTTGACTGAAATATATTTTTGTGTTACATGTGTGTTATATGTAGGCCTAGATATTGTAGCGAAAAGCGTAGACTAAATAGGCTATTTTTAATTTAACTCGTTTTATGTCCAGGCTATTATAAGATACAATTAAATTCCACTGACGTAAATATTAATTGTAATCCTAAATAAAACAATTTTGTAGACAAAGTGCTGGTAAAAATGCCAATGAAAGAACTTACTAACATACTTTTAGAATATATTTTCAAACAAACGTTTGGTCCCAGTTTTTTAATCTCAAAGATTATGAATCTTAGTACTCAATTACTAAATAAAATGATTTATATAAATTATCTCAAATGAAACAATGTGTGAAAATAATGAAATAAAATAAACAAGCTTGTTTGGATAAATATAGGCTAAAGGTAACGAGTGGGATCGATGGACCCATTTAAAAAAAAATTTTTTTTACGATAAACACCGGACTTCTCAGCTAATTCTATATCGTGGTTCTATTTTCTGAGTTATCAAACCCGTCTGTTCTGGAACTCCAGATAGTGAGGTCTCGGCTGGCATGCTATATTTCAAGTAGTTAAACCTAACAACCACATTACACCATACTCAAAACCCCAGTAGTAGGACACATATCCTATTTCGACCACACCTGCTGCTCGTGTCAAGGTCCATACAATTAAATAAAACATATTAAACCTACTGTACGTATTTGTCACATTAAAAATAAAATTAAATCAAACAATTCCTTAAATATTATTTGAGAGAACTCGTAGCTCACGGAGCACGCAGCAAAAGTTTTACTTTGAATAGGGTGTCTTGTATATTTTGATCATTTCAGAAATAAAATTAATATAAAGTGTTACCCAAGTGTTTGTCTGAAACGACCTGCTGAAGACAAATTATGTAAAATTACAATACAATAACAATTCCACATAAAGAATGCGCACACTTAACGATATGAAATAACTCCGAGATCACACATCTGAGCTGTACCATAATCATGTAAGAGTTCCCATCCGTGTGATAGTTTTGGAAACATGTTTGATTCAATCAATACACCTTTAACGGCTAGGCAAAAAACTAGGCTAATAAAATAAAAAGAAGAAATTGATGTAAAAGGCGAAGCAGAAATCGCCATTTAATGTTGTTAATCACCACGTGGCCTTTTAGTCAGTTGATCATGATTGGCCACATAATCCGAATCTGAAACTACAATGACAAAAAGAAACTACACAACGAATAAAAAGGTTAATTAAGACAATGTTTTCGGTCTAAAAAATCTTTACCTCTGAGAAAAGTTTTTTTTTTCAATGACCAGAAAGCGTCATGCTTTAAGAAACCGTAATGAGATTCCGGGTTTTGGGCTGTCTGAAGTCTAACTACCCCATGGTCCTCTGTTTGGAAGACCTGCCAACTAGATAACAACAGCACTTGGGCCTCCATGCTTAATGGACTTTTTATGGGTCTGTCCTGTGATCATGTGACCTCTAGCATGATGGCCTCTCTGTGACTCTTTGGTGGGTAGATAAGAAACATATACCGCTGACTGCTTTTTCCCTCGTTTTGGAAACCAGGAGAGCAAAAGTGAGTTTGACAAGAAGAGGCGAAAGACAATGAGAGAAGATGGAGCAGCAATGCAAAGTTCTGAGGGGAGAAATAGGGGGAAAGGAAAATAGTGAGAAAGTGAAGAGTCATGAAGACACTTGATTATATTCCTTACAATATGTATCTTGACTGTATCATTATTAGCTTCATGGAACTGTGACCGAAGCCAGCTGGGGCACACAAACAGATGAAATTACATATTAATGATAGCTTGAATATCATTTTTACTGGGCTCCTGACCTTGAAATATCGGTTATCATCTTCTCATTCTCATGGCATTCCAAACCATTAGAAATTTCTTTTTTAAAATACAACAAATTATATTTTTGTCCATACAATTAAAGTCAAGGGGTCTTATATTGTTTTGATCCCCACTGGCTTTGATAAAAACACTTCAAAACACTCTTCGGAAGATGCTCTTTTGCGTTCTATGAGAAAAAACACAGTTTTGGACAACATAAGAGTGAGTAAATAGTGACAGAATTATTTGTGGGTGAATTATCCCATCCAGTTTAACATCCAATAATACAATTTCCTTGATGTGTAAAGGATTTGTAGTGTTGATGAGTCATCTTTATTGTGCATGTTACATGCCACTGAATTCAAGGTGAGGCTTCATAAAGAAGCATCAAAAAACATTCCACTGCTTGACCTTGAAGAGAGGGAGGAGACCAAGTAAAAATATGTGCTTTGTTGCATAATTTTAACTGGTTAACCGCATTCATCAGGATTACCTATACAATTGTAAACCATGCTTAGTACCCTTACAATACCACTTCAGTTTCCAGGTTTGTGTAGAACTGAAAAATAGGTGTAATAAACATGTATCAACATGCTACAGTCTTAACATCAAAGCTACAGATATTTCCTGCTTTAATTTCCAGGTGTTTATATGTAGATCCAACACCATTAACAATTGCCAAGACTAGGCCCCAGCAAATTAGACTCAACAGATACATTAAATACATAAAAACTAAAATTGTACATATGCAAAGAAAAGGAGTGTAAAGGCTGATCTGAGTCTTGCGGGTTTGTGGTTTGAGAGAATGAAATTATAAATTTTTGTTAGCCTACAGAACAGCAACGAAGGCAAGAAAAAAAAATCTGAACAAATTTAATTCACAGCATCTCATCAATTGATTGGTGGATTACTAATTGTACATGAGTGGACTCACAAAAGTAACATGATTCCAACAGGAACTCACAGCCTCAAACATTACACACACACCTTTCTCACTACCATCCAATCTACATATGTGCTCACTCACTCATTTATGGCTCCCAGCACACACATGCCAATGAAATCACATAGTTGGGTCAAAGTTTTGCATGTCGGGTCATGTGAAAGGCAGGCAGTGCTGGGTAAGGCTTTGGAAGGGACAGAGAGTGTTGCCGTCTACTGGCCCTCCTCTTCTCGAAGGAACTGGAAGACAGATGAGAAGTCCTTGCTGGCGTAGCCGCGTGCGCACATCATGCGGTAAATCTGATGGGCCAGAGAGCCCAACGGCACTGGTGTCTTTGTGTTAGTTGCTGTATTCTGAGCAAGTCCCAGATCCTGAGAATAAATGATAGAAAATGTCCACGAGAGATAAGCATAACTGCACATTTGAAAAGTTAACTATTAGATGTGTTCTTGCATTTAAAAAAGGCTATCTGCAACCGAATACAGGGTCTCGAGGCAATTTTAAAGAAGACAATAACTAAATTAACATGCAGTCTCCCCCACCCACCCCATAATATTTAACAACAGTGTGAAATGTGACAATAGCATTAATGTTTAAGCTTATATCAGTGGTAGCAGCATATAATAAGTGTTTATTTAGCAGAACTTCTTGGCCAAAGCAGAAACCGAACAAAATGAAACACTGGGCCAAAGGCCGAATACGGTTTTACATGTTTTTTTTCCCCATGTATTTTGCCAATTTTTTTACCATTGCATAAATTAAATGGCCAAAATGTGCTTTTTACTGTTTTGTCTTGCTTTTCAAAGAAATAAATAAATAAATTACCAAACAACAATTGAATTTTTTTTAACATTGAACATTTTAAATCTTTCTAGCAGACAATACACCAACAAACCACAATTTAACAAGTTAATCTGAAGCACTCTGAAGCATTGTTAATGCAAGACATTTACATTTAAAGAGACCCACTGACAGTGTTCAATTAAATTTATTCCTTAATTTTTATTTACAAAAAACAAAGATCTTAAAAAGTCCTAACTTTACGTTCATAAACATACCTTCAAGAGTAGACAGATCTTGTATTACCCTGAAGGGTTAAATATTTTTTGGCCATTTTTGAGACCCCCTTCTTGAATCAGGCATGTATTTTTTACTGTACAAATAAATGCAGCCTTGCTTCTCTTTTAAAATATTAGAAAATATTACAGATCCCAATTTGAACACTGTGTGTGAATGTTATAATAAATGTATTAATAGAGCTGTTGTAATTATTATCATTATTATTGTCTTTTTTTATTTTACAGAACAACAGAAAGATTACAATCCTAACATTTATGAATGTTGATGGAGTTGCTTTTTCTCAGCTTTTATTTTGGCGAAACCACAGGAAGACCTAAGTGCTTCTTTTTGCTGACAACAGCAGATTTATAAATTATTATTATGAATTTGGGAAGATGTTTGTCGCACGTATCGCATTGTCACATGCCTTGTAAAAATTCATAAAAATGACACTGAACAACTGACGAGCGACACTGTTTCAGCACAGATTTTTGTCATGCTTTGGACTTTGAACCCCGACTAACGAGCTCATCATCGCTGCAGAATACATGCAATTCCTGTGTGTATTACAAAACATAAACAATTGGTAAATAATCTGCAGACTGTTAAGGCCATTACTCAATTTCAATCATCATACAGTAACCAGCAACAACCAACCACCCCCTCCTCTTCTCATCGAAAGCCTGTGATGTGCTGTCAGTGCTTAATGATTTTTCCGTCTTTCTGACAGTTTTAAATGATTCCACACTGCCGACAAGTTTGTTGCATTATATAGAGTGCGCGCCTCTCACTCTACACTGGTTGCTATTTGATCACATCACGTCATTGTTCGGTACAATTTATTCTGTATTTTCGCTTATTCCGAAATTAAATTATAAATAATTTCGGTTGCTGAACATTCGCTGCATCCCTATTTAGCAGCAAATCAGCACAATAGAATAAAAATTACATTTTAAAATATATTCACATTGTAAAAAAAATTATAACTACGATTTAAAAAACAAAACAAAAAAAAACAACAAACAAAACTTCTCAAAAACCCTCTATTCCAAACATTTGAACACCAATATAAAAAGTGGAAAAATAGACTAGACTTCACTAATCAACTATTTTGTTTATTAGTTACCCCTTATGTTAGTAGTAACCAGTGGAAACTAATATATAAAAAACGATGCAAACCTTGGCCATTAGTGTAGTTCCGAAGCCACCCTGGTAGTTGTTTGCCGAGGGCACTCCCTCCATAACTCCCGGGACAGGGTTGTATGTGTCACTTGACCAGCAGCGGCCAGAGCTCATGTTCAAGATCGTCGCCAGAAGTTTTGGGTCAAGCCCTAATCTGTGAATGCACAAATGAATACAAAGCAATTCTGGTTAAAAAGTAGAAAATAATACAATCTGTAGAAAAAGTAAATGCATCAAGACAGCTGTATCATTGAATCATCTATATAATCGTTTTTGATGAAACTGTACTTAACCTAGGCCATCCACGATGTAGAGGAGTTTGTTTCTTCATCAGAACGGATTTGGAAAAAATGTACTCATAATTTGGCCAGAAGTTGAGTTTTAGGTTAAAATGCCTTAATAATGGATTTGTTTCTTACAAACACACTGATTTTCACTTCACAAGATGTTTATCGACAGACTGAATTAGTGTGGATTATTGTGATGCTTTTATCAACTAATTTGGATTCTGACGGCACCCATTCACTGAAGAGGATTCACTGGTGATTAAGTGATTCTACAATTCTTCAAATCTGTTCTGAAGAAGAAACACTCATCTATATCTTGAATGGCCTGAGAGGGAGTACATTTTCATTTTTGGGTGCACTATTCCATCAAGTAATTCAACTGCGAACTGCACCTGATTCCCAAGTTCATGGTCTCTGCTGTTCCAATCATCCCAATGGCCAGCAGCATATTGTTGCAGATTTTAGCTGCCTACCAAACAAGGAAGAGAGAGATTATGACCAGAAATAAATCAGCACCTTTCTAAGAATGGCACTATATTCTTAAAGACTCTGTTTGTACCTGTCCGGTGCCAACTTGGCCACAGTACACCACATTAGCACCCATACAGCTCAGAAGCTCCTTGGCTGCATTGAATTCCACCTCTAGCCCACCAACCATAAAGGTGAGTTTACCTGAAGTGGCAGCACCAACACCTGAGATAAATATAGAAAACGATGGAGATCATATTGTACATTACACACACATAAGGTAAAGTTCCCCTAAAAATTAAAATTCTGTAATTTATCCACACTCATGTTGTTTCAAACGTGCATGACTGACTGACTTCTGCAAAACACAAAATAAGATATTTTTAAGAGCGCTACAGCTGTGAAGAGACAGAATTTTAAAGGGATAGTTCACCCAAAAATGAAAATTGTCATTAATTACTCACCCTCATGTCATTTCAAACCCGTAAGACCTTCGTTCATCTTCGTAACACAAATTAAGATATTTTTGATGAAATCCGAGAGCTTTGTGACCCTGCATAGACAGCAAGGGAACTACCACGTTCAAGAAAGGTAGTAAGGACACCTATCTTTTTTGGGTAATCTATCCCTTTATGCATTTTTAACTGAAATAAAATGGAACACTGACTACATCAAATCTGATGTTTGGTCATGTGACATCCAAGAACCAATGAGGTTTGATGTTAGCTGATATTTGAAGTTTGTGATGTTACCATCTTGTTAGGTTAAAGGGATACTCCACTACAAAATGAAAATTGTCATTAATCACTTACCCCCCCCCCCCATGTCGTTCCAAACCCGTAAAAGCTTTGTTCGTCTTCGGAACACAATTTAAGATATTTTGGATGAAAACCGGGAGGCTTGTGACTGTCCCATAGACTGCCAAGTAAATTACACTGTCAAGGTCCAGAAAAGTATGAAAGACATCGTCAGAATAGTCAATCTGCCATCAGTGGTTCAACCGTGATGTTATGAAGCGACAAGTATACTTTTTGTACACAAAGAACATGACTATTCAACAATTCATCTCCTCCGTCTCTCTCCGCATCACCGTAGCGCCATTTTGGAGAATAACCACTGAACGCAAGCAGAGTACGCTCTTCTGTGTCAGCCGCGACACAAGGATATGTTTTCTACGTGTATTTACGTTTCGATTTGAACAAAAACAGTGCATCCCTGCGGCACAGCTGACACAGAATAGCGTACGTTGCTTGCATTCACTGTGATTGTTTCCACATCATCATACCAGTAACCTCTTTAAGCTTAAAGGATTGAGAGGACGTGTCTTCAAAATGTAACACCATCGAAGTGCCATAATTACTCTCAGAGACGAAAGTTCTATAAATACACAAGCACTCCACCATCTGCTGTGAACACAGATGCACATGACGTCAGGGACAGTTTGTTGTGGCTCACGTTTCATTAAGCCTCCTTCACAGACGCTAACATGGAGCTGAGAATAATGTCTGGAGGGTCTAAGTAAAGAGAATGAGCAGGTCTGTGGATTTCTTTGGACTGTTTCACAAACCAAGAGCGGGTCCAACGGTATGTTAGCCAAACCCCACTGACGCATATGAATTGGGAGAGGCAACAATTTAAGGAAAGCAAACTAGAAGCACATTGTTTTTATGTGCCCAAAGACCAGAGGAAACAACTTCCTGATTAAAAAGGAGGCTCGCCATAAAGCACAAACTAGCTGTTGACTGAGTTAAACCTTTCTTGTTAGGCGACAACACAGGTTGTTTTCACACCTCAGGCAAGTTTATAAGCAGCACACAAATTCGAGAAAAGTATGTGCATAGTACATTACACTAGACTTATAAAAAGTCAATTTTGACACAAATGGATTGCTATTTAAAGGGGTCATTCGCTTTAATTTTATTTCTGTGATCCACTTGTATAAAAAAATAAATAAAATGTATACACATTTGCATATCAAAGAGTCATATTTTACTTTTCCATGAGTGTTTTGCTCACTTTCTCAGAGCCTTTCACAGTTCAGTTTTGCTGTTGTGCCTTTAAGAAACAAGCAACAGCGCCTTTTCTCAGGATCTGTTCAAACGCTTTCGGGTTTGTAATGTCAAATTGTTCTTAACGCTCCCATCCTTCAATACTGAATCATCAGGGAAACAGGGCAGAAACTCAGCCACTCTTTCCTACCACTAGGATCCTTTGGAATTATATGGAAAGTCATACACATTCCAATGTTTATCCTAAAAGATCAAGGATTATTTGATACACACACATTATGATATAACCCCATTTAATTACTGGTTCTCAACCAGGGGGTTAGGCCCCGTTAGAGAGCCTATATTAGTCAAGGTTCTATTCTCAGTCTACATGTCTTGGTAATTATATAGGACAAAACCTTAGTTGGCACATGAAATTATTCTTACTGAAGCTCTCTTATATTGGATATTGAAGAATGTACCTCTGCACAGATTCAGATGTCCCAATTCCATACTATTCAATACCAGTTTATTGTATAAATCTTGTGAGTAGTGTGTTCACACTGTAAATTCCAAGTAGGACACTTCAATCATAGCTATGCTGGTTGACAAACTAACCTTATAAAATTCACACACTAGACAATAGGGTGCATAGTGCACAGTAAAACTGTACAGTAACTACAGTCATTTGTGGAAAAACTAGTCCATCCTCCTATGCCAAGTCAGAAATACAAGCATAAACAAATTCAAACAAACAACAGTCAGAAAAGGCCTCTATATACAGTGGGTACGGAAAGTATTCAGACCCCCTTACATTTTTCACTCTTTGTTATATTGCAGCCATTTGCTAAAATCATTTAAGTTAATTTTTTTTCCTCATTAATGTACACACAGCACCCCATATTGACAGAAAAACACAGAATTGTTGACATTTTTGCAGATTTATTAAAAAAGAAAAACTGAAATATCACATGGTCCTAAGTATTCAGACCCTTTGCTGTGACACTCATATATTTAACTCAGGTGCTGTCCATTTCTTCTGATCATCCTTGAGATGGTTCTACACCTTCATTTGAGTCCAGCTGTGTTTGATTATACTGATTGGACTTAATTAGGAAAGCCACACACCTGTCTATATAAGACCTTACAGCTCACAGTGCATGTCAGAGCAAATGAGAATCATGAGGTCAAAGGAACTGCCTGAAGAGCTCAGAGACAGAATTGTGGCAAGGCACAGATCTGGCCAAGGTTACAAAAAAAATTCTGCTGCACTTAAGGTTCCTAAGAGCACAGTGGCCTCCATAATCCTTAAATGGAAGACGTTTGAGACGACCAGAACCCGTAATGGCTGCAATATAACAAAGAGTGAAAAATTTAAGGAGGTCTGAATACTTTCCGTACCCACTGTATATGTGTTGTCAATCGATTAAAAAAAAATTAACTAATCGCATGTTTTCTTCTGAAATTAATCGCATCTAACATTAAAGTTTTTAAATATATTTTATATTGCAATAATTTCACATTTAATCTTCAAATTACTGTAGAAACCACATAAAGACAGTATATTTTTAATATTTGTTTAATGGCATCTTTTTGTATTACTGAAGGAGGCCACTGACACCAATGATGCCTCTATAAAATTATTTTTTTCCTAATATTTAACCTTTGACTATAGCCATTCAACAACCAATGTGATATTTAGCTATCTGTGCCCTTCAGCAAGTAGGAAATATACAGAAATTGAATAAAGTTATCAAACACAATTCTAAATTAAATATAGATGAATCCTTAAAGCTATAAAAAGTTATTGATTTCCTCCTTTTCTTTGATGACATTACAGCAGGTGGGTTAATAGGTTATTTTGGGTGCTGTTTCTTTAAGAGCTGCTGCTGCTGAACAAGACAAGGATCTGACAAGCATCATATTTTCTCTCAACTCTCTTTACCTTTTCTGACCCACTTCAGGTCTTAAAGTCTCTATTAATGAGCAGACGAGTTGAATGAGGGAGACCGTGTTGGGTGCTCCAGGACAGTTTTGAAATCCATTTCAGAGTTCTTAAAGGGTCATGAGTTTCCGCGCTCGTTTGACTCGCAGGCGCTGAGGTGAAGTGGAGTGCACGTCTGAAACGTCTCCTGTTTGATGTGCTTGTAAAGACGTTCTGAGACTAAATTAGCAAGAAAAAAAGTGACCGAAGCAGCAGTTGTTAGTGGGGTGGCCAACACTAGCTCCTCCCCTGCGTTAACGGCGTTAAATACTTTTAACACTTTAAACTGAAAAAATGTATCGCCTGCGTTAACGTGCTAATTTTGACAGTACTAATATATATATATATATATATATATATATATATATTACACAGTAGTCAACATTTGAAGTGGATAAAAACATTCATCAAAGTTGTCCTAAGACAAGAACGAGTATTATTTTGGTTTTAGGACAACTTTGATGATAGGTTTTGATCCATATATTTGTTCAAAATCTAGACCTCTGCTATATCTGCCAGCATTATCCTATACAGTATAGGTTTCTAAAAGAAGGGTTACATGAGATTATGGCATTAGAGTCACTGATTTTGAGCACTTGTCTCCATTTCCACCGTAAGTTGAGGTCACAGGATCAATTCCCAGATGCTGGCTTTTGATTTAGTCTATAACTCAAAGGGTCCACACCAATGGCTGGATTAAGAAAATGGATAAGCTGAGGCAGGTGATAAAACTCTTTCCTATCAACAAACCTGCAAATCACCCATTTCAGACTGAAACAGTGGACAGAAAGAATAAAACTGGGTGTAACTGGTGTCTCCTGAAATTTGACTTTGCGAACCTTCGGATTGTTGAAAAAGCATAGGTTTTGTATATATACAGTGGGTACGGAAAGAATTCAGACCCCCTTAACGTTTATCTTCCAACAAGACAATGACCCTAAGCACACAGCTAAAATAATGAAGGAGTGGCTTCACAACAACTCTGTGACTGTTCTTGAATGGCCCAGCCAGAGCCCTGACTTAAACCCAATTGAGCATCTCTGGAGAGACCTAAAAATGGCTGTCCACCAACGTTTACTATCCAACCTGACAGAACTGGAGAGGCTCTGCAAGGAGGAATGGCAGAGGATCCCTAAATCCAGGTGTGAAAAACTTGTTGCCTCTTTCCCAAAAAGACTCATGGCTGTATTCGATCAAAAGGGTGCTTCTACTAAATACTGAGCAAAGGGTCTGAATACTTAGGACCATGTGATATTTCAGTTTTTCTTTTTTAATAAATCTGCAAAAATGTCAACAATTCTGTGTTTTTCTGTCAATATGGGGTGCTGTGTGTACATTAATGAGGAAAAAAATTAACTTAAATGATTTTAGCAAATGGCTGCAATATAACAGAGTGAAAAATTTAAGGGGGTCTGAATACTTTCCGTACCCACTGTATATATATCTTTACCAAACTACACTGTTGCCACAAAGTTGTAGTTTGCTTGGACATCAATGTGAAACTGAATTCCATTATTAACATGAACCTGTGATTGCGAAAACCACAATGCTTGAATTGGAGCCAAAGATTCTCTAAGAAATTTGTAGCTATTGCCAGACAGTGACTAGTTGCGTAACTGAGACTATGGGTGTGTGATTTATGAAACCTTTAAAACATGCACTAACAAACATTGTCTGCACTTACATATGCGGTTTGTAGGCAGTCAGGGTTCAGGTCACGGTGATAACATACTATGCAATTTACCGCATCTACGTCTAGCATTCATACCGTGTTGGGTAGGAAGTGGGAGTTTTTGCCATCTCACCTCCAGACACTGGGGCATCCATGAAAACAGCTCCCAGTTTCTCTGTGGCAACTGCCATTTCCTTGGAGACACCTGGATCAATGGTGCTGGAATCAATGAGTAGGGATCCCTTCTTCACTTTCCTTTTGTAAAGTAAAGATATCAGTAAACAAGATCTGTCCTGTCATGTCTTTAAAATACTGACTTTAAACATTTCTCACCACAATTAAATCAGCTAAAATTTTATTGAATCTGGATATAGTTATCTAAATTTAAAGTATGGCTGAATATATGTTGGATTTGACTTGGATTTTTTTTTTAACCCTCTCAAATTATGTTTGCTAATTAAACTGTTCAAATGTTGTGTTCATTAAAGGGGTCACATGATGCGATTTCAAGTTTTCCTTTCTCTTTGGAGTGTTACAAGCTGATTGTGCATAGATAAGATCCCTGAAGTTGCATATATATATATATATATATATATATATATGGAAAATAATTTGCAACTGCAACAATTTAACAACCGTCCACCATTTAGTTCAATAGCGGCTGAGTATGATCACAATAAGTATAACTTAATTGTCTTCTCGTGTTTCAGTGACTTACACACAATGACTTTAGCCTAACAGCTATTACCGAGAGTTGGCAGTGCATTGCATTATATCAGATGTTTGCCGCACGGAAAAATTGCATACAAGTGCACAGTAGTAAACAAATACATAAAATTTTTAGGATAACGGTGCAAACACATTACCCTGCACGGCGTTGACATGGTTATGACACTTTCCTACTAGACACCACGAGCCCCTTAACAGAGCGGCCATGCTGCTTCGCTCGTGACCTTCGACTTACAGTGACGCCATTGGATAATCGATGACTGTCACATGTGCCTCCATACGTTTCCTTCATCTCGGAACTCTTCGTCCAATGACATTCAAGGGAAGGCGGGACATCCTTAAAATCTCATAAGAGAGCAATGGAAAAACAAAAATAACTTGTAACTTGCCCTTATTTAGTCTGCTATTTAATTTAACCCAAACAAACTATTATTATTTGTATTTAATAAAAGGATTTAATCGTGTTTATGTCTTGTAATTGTATATGCAAACAGAAACATTTGTCTTAAAGGGGTCATATGATGTTGCTAAAAAGAACATTATTTTGTGTATTTTGTGCAATGAAATGTGTTTATGTGGTTTAAGGTTCAAAAAACACATTATTTTCCACATAATGTACATTATTGTTTCTCCTCTATGCCCCGCCTTTCTGAAACGCGTTGATTTTTACAAAGCTCATCGATCTGAAAAGCAAGGTGTGCTGTGATTGGCCAGCTATCCAGTGCGTTGTGATTGGCCGAATACCTCAAGCGTGTGACGGAAATGTTACGCCCCTTACCATACTGTGATGCCGTGTCCCGGCCGGAGCGACAAGACAAAAACATTAAAACCCATTATAAACAAGGCATTTGTTGTATCCAGTGGGGACATAATTATGGATTATAATGACTTATACTGTTGTTTTACGCATTGTAACACTCCAAAGAGAAAGGAAAAATTGAAATCGCATCATATGACCCCTTTAATATTTCACTAACGTTAACTTATTAACCTTAGGACAAATGTAACTCTTAGGGAACTTAACTTAAGGATATTGGATATGTCTATGGTTGTGGCGGATATGATGTGTGTGGTGTTGTTGTTATTGTGTTGTTCCGGGAAACCACTGACACGGACAGAACGGGGGAAGTAACGTTACTCGCGCTGAGAGAGACTGGAAAGTGCGTCAAAAACAGCGCTGGGGTTTTCTGTGATACTTCAGCATGGAAATGAGGTATTGTGCCGTCTTTTTATTCACTTTTATTGTCTCTTTATATGCGTATTAGTCTTAAATATCTACTATGATTTTATGTTACTGACTTTTAATATAATTTTGAGCTCTGTTGTGGTGAAAGACCAGTTGGTCGAGAACATGATAAGGGTTATTCCTGAACTATCGGCCTCACACTTTGACTTGACTTAGGATATTAACTGATGCGTTCTTATACAGAAATAAAGACCAGGTAAGATGTGGATTTGGGATGATTAAACACTGATTGAATGGCAAAAGCTAATAAGCTGTAATTGTATTGACATTATGGTTTGTTATTGTTTAGCCAGACGGCTAAGACGAGCTAAAACCTGCTAGCAAGCTAACATCGCTAGCTTAGCTAATATAGAAAACTTGATGTATATTGGAGTATATTTGGTATAACCATATAATATTGATATACTATGCGGTATGAAATATATTTTTTATTTAACTTTTCCTCGTAACAACATGATTAACACTCGAAGTTGTAATTAGTGTAAGTGCTTGTAACTTCGGCCTATTAGCAAAACATTTATGTCTAAAAAACAAGTATGAAGGAATATATATTTATTTGACAGTCATTTACACATATAGGCCTAATTAATTATTTTTGCGCTGTATTATCTAATGTCACATTTCTGTTTGTGTTGTGCTATTTTTAGAGAGACGACCTTTGGATTTTCAGGTAAAATAATATCACGGTAATTAACTATAATTAAATAGCCGCAATAAATGTCGTTTTGTTATTACAGGGTTAAATGATCGTGTAAACAAAGCATTTTACAGTTCATTTTTTTTATTTATTGCAAGTGTAAACACTTAACAATTAATGTAACATTGGACGACATTATGAATACAGAAAGTATATAGGAAGACAAAGAAGAGAGAAAAATAATAAAAAATAAACAAGAATACATAGATAAAACAAAAAATACAGAGGTAGTAAATCAAGAATTATGTACCATTCAGCAGATCATTATACAGTTTCACAAATTTGACACTTTTTTTGGTATTAATATTTTTTAGTGTTATAATTAAGTAGTTAAAGTCACAAAGAAAATGATGTAATTTTGGAGATGTTGAAGAAAATTTACATTTATGAATATAATATTTTCCCAATACAATAAATACATTTCCTATATATTCTATGTTATGTTTACAATGAGAAAAATAACAAAATATATCACACATAGTAACATCAATGTCTACATTAGATTTTGAAGAAAATAATTTTGACACGTTCCTTAACAAGGGGGCATTTGAAATTATGGTTTGTTATTGTTTAGCCAGACGGCTAAGACGAGCTAAAACCTGCTAGCAAGCTAACATCGCTAGCTTAGCTAATATAGAAAACTTGATGTATATTGGAGTATATTTGGTATAACCATATAATATTGATATACTATGCGGTATGAAATATATTTTTTATTTAACTTTTCCTCGTAACAACATGATTAACACTCGAAGTTGTAATTAGTGTAAGTGCTTGTAACTTCGGCCTATTAGCAAAACATTTATGTCTAAAAAACAAGTATGAAGGAATATATATTTATTTGACAGTCATTTACACATATAGGCCTAATTAATTATTTTTGCGCTGTATTATCTAATGTCACATTTCTGTTTGTGTTGTGCTATTTTTAGAGAGACGACCTTTGGATTTTCAGGTAAAATAATATCACGGTAATTAACTATAATTAAATAGCCGCAATAAATGTCGTTTTGTTATTACAGGGTTAAATGATCGTGTAAACAAAGCATTTTACAGTTCATTTTTTTTATTTATTGCAAGTGTAAACACTTAACAATTAATGTAACATTGGACGACATTATGAATACAGAAAGTATATAGGAAGACAAAGAAGAGAGAAAAATAATAAAAAATAAACAAGAATACATAGATAAAACAAAAAATACAGAGGTAGTAAATCAAGAATTATGTACCATTCAGCAGATCATTATACAGTTTCACAAATTTGACACTTTTTTTGGTATTAATATTTTTTAGTGTTATAATTAAGTAGTTAAAGTCACAAAGAAAATGATGTAATTTTGGAGATGTTGAAGAAAATTTACATTTATGAATATAATATTTTCCCAATACAATAAATACATTTCCTATATATTCTATGTTATGTTTACAATGAGAAAAATAACAAAATATATCACACATAGTAACATCAATGTCTACATTAGATTTTGAAGAAAATAATTTTGACACGTTCCTTAACAAGGGGGCATTTGAAAAAAAGATGATCAATAGACTCAATGCTGACATTACAGAAATTACAGTTCAGATGAGGACTACCAAATTTGGATGTAATCTCATTAGTGGGGTATATATTATGCAAAAAGCATTTTACAGTTCAAGTCAGTAAGACACGTCGTCTGTGACGTCACTACTCAGTCTCGGATAAAGGTCATAATAATTTTGATAGGAGATAGAGGGGGAGCTATTCTGTTTTATGGGCGGTTCTCGCAAGTTTTCACTCCTTTGCATGCTAAAATGTACCGTGTGAAAAATCTTTTTCTTTTTTTTCGACAGCGCTCAGCTGTTTCTGAAAGCGTGAGTCTCTGTACTGACAGGAATTTCCTGCTCTGCCGCTGTATAAGATTACGTTATGTTTTTTTTAGATTAAAAAAAGGAAAAATTAGCAGTGTGAATTAATTTGTGACAGCTTAGTGAAGAATAGGTAAAGAAGGTTTTTATGTACAACTCGTGTTCCTCAAATTATTTGCAATGCTTATTTTCCCCAAGCAAGACAAACTGAAGAAACTGGTCACACTGGTAAACCAACACACAACTTTATGGTCTTCGCTGCTGACATATTGTTGAGGCATCACCATGATTACAAAACAAATGACCTTTTCTTATCAAGTGCGGCTAGTGTTCACAACCACACAGAAAAATCTCGACAATCATCAGACTCCGTTTGTTCATTGCTTACTGAGTCATCACCTTATGAGTGTGAGATGTGACAAATGTTTCAAGTCTGTAAAAAGTACATTAGTACAAAATTGGTACATTTCCCAGAGTTTGATAGTTGTGGTGATAATAATTTGACCTACCTCAGTTTAACTTAGTTACAAATAAATGCAGTTTGCTTTAATAAAGTATTATGCTTTGAAGAGTCTTTATTAAAAAGTATGGAGGGCTTTAAGGGAGTTGAGAGACAGAGTGGCTGAGTGCTGTTTAATCTAAGATCAAATTGACATGTTTCACCCAGAAATGAAAATTATTATCATTTACTCACCCTCAAGTAGTTCCAAACCTGTATGAGTTTCTTTCTTCTGTTGAACATAAAAAAAAGATGTTTTGAAGAATGTGATTAAGCAAACAGTAGCTGGTCCCCATTGAATTCTATAGTTTGGAAAAAAAACACCATGGGAGTCAGTGGGGACCAGAAACTGTTATATCAAGGATTTTTGTAGGGATGCACGATATATCGGCCACCATATCGGTATCGGCCGATAAATGCTCATTTTTTCTGTTATCGGTATCGGCCTGATAAGAAAATTTGGCCGATATCTTAAAGCCGATAAATAATGCATTATTTCCTTCAGATACACTTCAGATGCGCGCTGTTTGTTTGCAGCCTTTTGTGCAATTGTACGTTGTAATATTGTGTTTATTTGATGTATATCTGATTTATCTCATATAGAATGCATTTGGTTAAGTTAAAAGAGCGCTTCAGTTTACCGGTAATCGTCTTTAGCTCAGCGCACGCAGCTCAAACAGCAGTGCACAACATTAATAACTATGATTGGGAATGT